ACATACAACTACCTACTGGGGCTTTGGGGAAAAAAATATAAGGAGGAGGATTGGCAAATGGATGTTAGCTCAGAGCTGGTCTTCCTCAGCACAAAAAAAAAAGGAGGATTAGCATGGATGTTAACTCAGGGCTGATCTTCCTCACAAAAAAAAAAAAAGGAAACTGGCCTCATAAAGTCAAGTGACTTGCCTACAATGACCCAGATTGTATTGCTACGGAACATTTTCAATCATATTTATCTTTATTTTATGCCTTCTTTTTCATTATTTAGAATTAGAACTTAAAACCTCCACTAACTGTCTTCCAATATTTGACAAACTCTCTCTCATGTGGGGTAAAATTGGACATCTACTGAGTGGCCACCAGAGAGCAAACTATACACTAGTGGATGGGTGCTGTGGGACAAATCGTGTCTCCACATAAAAAAAGAATTTTCTAGTACTATGATTCACTTAAGGATCAGGAACAGACCTCCTCATTAGGGACAGTGGCAGAGCTGGACTGAAACTCAAGTCTTCTTACTTCCTTGCTTAAATATGAATGAGTATAAATTGGCTTTTATGGCAAGTGGAAGTAATCTTTTAAATAGAACAAAAGCAGTACATATCGAATGATAAACAAATCAGAAATGTCAAATAATGAATTTCTACAATACATAAGGAGTGCATCTGAATTGATATTAAAAATACACTAATTTCAACAGGAAAATGGGTAACAGACATGAACAAATTGTTCGCAGGAAATTTATAACTACAATAGCTAAAATCATATGGGAAGAGCTTCGCCTCATGAAAAAATCAAATGAATGCTTAAAACACAGCCACTATTTTTTACATATAAGTCTAGCAAAGCTAATTTCCATGTGCAATGTTGGTGAAGGTGGGGTGAAATGAGAATTTTCAAGCAGTGTTGTAGGACTATCTGCTGGTAAAACATTCTAGAAAGTAACTTAGCCATTTATATTAAATTTTTTTTTAAAGTTCTATATATTTTTACCTAATAGTTTCCCTTCTGATAATCTATTTTAAGAAAATAATGATAAATATTAATAAAGATAAATGGAATGAGATACTCACCTCAGTGTTGCTTATAAAAGCAAAAACAACCTAACTAAACATGTGAAATGTCCAACACACAGTAGGAGAGTAGCTAAATAAATTATTATGATGGGAAACCATCATTTAAAATAAAGTGCATTTTGAAGTCTGTTTAATGACATAAAAAGTTTTCTGTAAAAAACAAATCCAAAAATTTTTTAAGAAAGTATTATTCCAATCTTATTTATAAACACACACACATATATATGCATATATGCATAGAAAAGATGAAAGAAAATGTTAATTATAGCTATTTCTCAGTGACAGAATCAGAAAGTTTTTGTTTTTTTCTTTATAACTTTTGGTACTCGTACTCTTCTCATCATCTTTAATAATCATTTATTACTTTTACAGTCATAAAAAAATCCAATATGGTTCAATAAAATACAGAGGACGTAAATAAAAACATAAATGTAAAATGTTTCACGGGAAGAGTTTTTCGCGTCAACACGCAGGATCGTTAGTTCAAAACATTATGCATGACCCAGACTGATGATTGGTCTTCCCAGTGGTCAGCTTACAGTGAAGTTGAAGTAGACTCAGATTGGTCAATCACGTTTCTACCCTCTAAACCAGAGTAAAATTTTGATATGAATTTTTGAGTGTGTTGTTTTGTTGCGTTTTGTTCTCTGAGTCTATGAAAATGGAACCTACCGCATTGCCGTAACAGTCTGGAGGGTTCTCTGTCTTGCAGCACTCTTCCAGGAGATCCTTGTACACTCTAGCAATTCTTAAAAGTTCGGATGTAGACAGTTCTGGATGCCTTCTTGAGTATTCATAAAGAAACCTGTGACGTGTAAAATACTTCAGATATTAGAACTTAAAGAAAGAGCAAAACACCAAATCTTGCTATCTTTTGGTCTAATCAGATCTTCTAACACTGAGTCTGCTTTCAAATGCTACATTCCTCCTCTGCTTTGGTCAGGGAGTGATTGAAGAGGGCATTTTGACTACAGGAGATCATTTTACAAAGGTTCTTTTCCACATTATTTTTTAAACTAACAACGTTTTTACCACTACTAGGGAGGGTAGAATTATTGGTTATTCAGAGTTAATTATTAGAATGATTTAATCCATAAAACATCAGAAATAGTATATCATGTTACCAATACTTTAGAAAATATCGAGTATATTATATTGAGAATTATATCAAGTACAATTCTGTTGGAAAACGCTTTCAAACTTTCAACCTAAAATGGTGGAAATATGGCTTTCTCCCCACACCCAGTGCCGCCATGGTGCGAGATTGTGGAGCAGCCTTTGCCTGTGACTTCATCCTGTCTCTTGTCAAGTATGGGAGGAATCACCCCTGTAGCTCTAAGTCACTGGCAGTGGTTTCCATGGCCTCAGTGAGAGGCCCCAAGGGTCTTGGTGGGTATGATTTGGGGAGAAAGTGGGAAAGGGAGAGGAAAGAGGCTAACATTT